AGCATATATAACATAACCTATATGACATAGAATCAAAGGACTGGAAGGGACTTGAAAGATCATCAAGTCTGGTCCCCTGTCATGGGCAGGAGGTTATTGGACTCAAACCAGGTGCTTGCCCAGCCTCCTCTTGAACACCTCCAAGGATGGTGACTGCACCACCCCTGCTGGGAGCATGTTCCAGATTCTAGATACCCTATGGAAAATAAGTTTTTCCTTATGTCCAACCTAAATTTTGCCTCAATTAGCTTGTGCCCATTGGTCCTTGTCCTCCCTGTGGTTGCCTTCCTAAAGAGTCGCTCCCCTAGATTTTGGTATTCACCCTTGTTTGTAGGCAGCTGTCAAGTCACCTCTCAGTCTTCTCTTGCTCAGACTGAACGAACCCAGTTCCCAGAGTCTCTCCTTATACGGCCTATCCTCCAGGCCCCTAATCATATGGGTGGCCCTTCTCTGTACCCTTTTGAGTTTATCCACATCCTTCCTGAAGTGTGGTGCCCAGAACTGGACACAGTACTCCAGGTGTGGCCTCACCAATGCCAAATAAAGGGGGAGGAGCACCTCTCTAGATCTGTTTGCAACACATCGGCTGATACGCACCAGAGTTCTGTTTGCCCTGCTGTCGACTTCCTCACACTGTTGGCTCATATTCAGCTTCTGGTCCACTGTCACCCTCAGGTGCCTTTCAGATGCAGCGCGAGCCAGTGGACCACCACTCATCGTATAGTGGTGAAGGTTCTTCCTACACAGATGAAGGACCCAGCAACTGTTCATACTGAACCTCATCTGACTGCGTTCAGCCCATAGGACCAGTCTGTTGAGGTCATCCTGGACCCTTACCCTCTCCTCAGATGTGTCCGCATTTCCCCACAGCTTGGTGTCATCTACAAACTTGATCACTGTGTTTCCCACCCCCTCATCCAAGTCATTGATAAAGACGTTAAAGAGCACGGGCCCAAGCACCAATCCCTGAGGGACGCCACTGGAGACAGCCCTCCAGGATGAGGCCATCCCATAGATTACAACTGCCTGGGATCAACCCCCGAGCCAACTGCCAACCCAGTTCACTGTAGACTGGTCTAGGCCAGTACCCTCCAGCTTAACTGAAAGGATCTCGTGGGAGACAGTATCAAAGGCCTTGCTTAAGTCTAGGTAAATGATGTCAGCCTCATGTCCCTTGTCCAGCTGGTTAGTTACCTGGTCATAAAAGGACATCAGGTTTGTTAGGCATGACCTACCCTTGACAAAGCCGTGCTGGTTGCTTCTTAATAGCCCGCTAGTTATGAGCTTGTGGTTGATGGCCTTCTTGACAATTTTTTCAAAGATTTTTCCCAAGACCGAGGTTAGACTGTCCAGTCTGTAGTTTGCAGGGTCATCCCTCTTCTTTTTCTTAAAAATGGGTACCACATTAGCCGTCTTCCAGTCGTTTGGAACCACTCCTGAGTTCCAAACTCTTTGAACAGCTTTGCCAGAGGCCTTGCTATGAACTCAGCCAGTTCTTGTAGGATCTTGGATGCAGGTAATGTGGCCCAGCAGACTTGAATACATCCAAATGTTCTAAGAGTACGCTCACCTGCTTGGGACCGATTTCATGTGGAGTGCTGTCTTCCTTATATTCCCTGGGCCTCTGGACAAGTGAACAGCTCCCATCTGATTTCAGGAACACCAATGTGAAGTAAGTATTTAGGAGTGCTGCCTTTTCGTAGGAACCAATGGTGGGCTGCCCCCCCACCCAAGGTTTAGTAGCGGTCCCACGGTGGAGCTTGATTTTTTCTTCCTCCCTATGTACCTATGGGAGGACTTTTTGTTGTTCTTTATTTCGGTTGCCAGCTTGATCATGCCTGCCTTGAGACTGCCTTCTGTCTGATTTCAGACTAACATGGCTAACTACCGCTCTCTGCTCATGTATAGACAAATCTTACACAAGCATCTTCCTTCCTGACCAATGGATTTCCCCTTCCTGCAGGGGAAGTGATGTTGAGGGGTAACCAACATGGGTTTGTGCCAGGCTGATCCTGCCTGACTAACCTGGTCTCTTTCTATGAGCAGGTAACAAAAAGCTTAGATGTGAAGGAGGAAGTCAATGTCGTTTTCTTGGACTTCCAGAAGGCCTTCGACACAGTTTCCCACCCAATTCTGGTGGGCAAGCTGAGGGACTGCGGCATTGATGAATGCACAGTCACATGGGTGGCAAACTGGCTCCAGGGGTGCACCCAGAGGGTGATGGTGGACGGGTCGATGTCGACCTGGGCAGCGGAGTCCCCCAGGGCTCGGTCCTTGGGCCGGTGCTGTTCAACATCTTCATTAGCAATCTGGACAAGGGTGTGGAGAGCACCCTGTTCAAGTTTGCTGATGACACCAAGCTCTGGGGTAAAGTGAATACACCAGCAGGCAGGGACCATATCCAGGCAGACCTGGATAGGTTAGAGAAGTGGGCGGATCTGAACAGGATGCGGTTCAACAAGGACAAATGAAGAGTGCTGCACCTGGGGAGAGGGAACCAGCATTACTGTTATAGGTTAGGGGCTGACCCTCTCAGCAGCACAGAGGCAGAGAGGGATCTTGGAGTCAGGATTGACTCCAGGAGGAATATGAGTCGCCAGTGCAACGGAGTAATAGGCAGAGCCAACCACACCCTGTCATACATCAACAGGGGCATCACTAACAGGTCCAGAGAGGTCTTGCTCCCCCTCTATGCAGCACTGGTCAGGCCGCAGCTGGAGTACTGTGTCCAGTTCTGGGCACCGCACTTCAAGAGGGACGTGGAGAACCTGGACAGGTTCCAGAGGAGGGCCACTCTTGTGGTTGGGGCCTCCGTGGCCAGCCCTATGAGAAGAGGCTGAGGGACCTGAATCTCTTCAGTCTCCACAAGAGAAGACTGAGGGGGGATCTTGTGACTACCTATAACCTTATCAGGGGCCAGCAGCGGGGACTCGGGGAAAGTCTGTTAACCAGGGCCCCCCTTGGAGTTATTAGGAACAATGGCCACAAGCTGAGGTAGGATAGGTTTAGGTTGGATATTAGGAAGAACTACTTCACTGTAAGGGTGGCCAGAGCCTGGAATAGGCTTCCCAAAGAGGTGGTGCTCTCACCTTCCCTGGAAATCTTCAAGAGGAGACTGGATAGGCACCTGGCTGGGGTCTTATGACCCCTGCCACCTCCAGTGCTCCTTCCTGCCCATGGCAGGGGGTCGGACTCAATGATCTGTCTAGGTCCGTTCCGACTCATTGATTCTATGATATGGCTGAAGAGTATGCCCACTTGACGTAACCATTTCTCTGTAGCTGAAGGAGCAGCCAGGTAGACTACGGAACCAGTAAACCAAGAGGAAAAAGACCTCAGTGCCCAGCTAGGAGGTAATACACCTAGATAAACGGCATCCACCAGAGAAGCATCTATCCTGCCCCCTTATAAGAAAGTGTAGCCTGTTGCCTAGTTCATGGCATTGGTACTTACATAGCAAATGCCTCTGTATTGCTTCCTTAAAGTATGCACAACTATCTCCTGCATATGGTGGTTTTATTACCCTCACTGTTCAACTGATGGTAGCAATAAATAAGGAGCTGGGTTGATGTTGACTAATTACAAAAGCTACCTCTTATGCATATACAACCAAAGCTCAGATGCCAGTTGCACCATTACTGCTTGCCAGTGCAAGAGAAGACCAGAATCAAGCTGAAAGCCAAGTGCCTGGTGAACTGGTGTGGTCTCAGGGCTGGGATTGACAAAATCAAACTGATTGTCAGTTTGAGCACTGGGATCACATGAGAGCCCGCTAAAGACCCTGGTGCAGTCCTGGAGCTGGAACCAAAAATGAGCTGGTTGTTTGTTGTGGTCCTGAGGCTAAGACTGAGGCAGTTTGAGACTGTGGTGCAGTCTCAGGGCTGGAACTGACAATCAGCTGATTGTGGGACCCAATCCGATGACCACATTGGAGCTGGCTGGAGACTCTGGTCTGTTTGGGGGAGTTGCCAAGCAAACCCTGTCATGCATCAGTCAGCATCAGGCTGCATGGCAGGGAATACTGCCATACAGTCAATTAAAGGTGCAATGGAAACCAGTCACACAATTAATACGCATATTTTGTAGAATCATTTTCTGGTTGCTTTTACATTTGGTGGTGCCCTAATTGCCTGAATGTGTAGCCAGGCAACAATTTAAGACACAATTCACAAGTTAATTCTATCTCAAGTGTAACCTCTGCCAGGGGCCCTAGGTATTCAAATCCTTATATCTGCTCCCTTACCAAGATCCAGGGTGTGTGGACAATGTTAGGGAGGGAAGGTGGAAGGTCAAACTTTTCTTATGGTGAAGAAAAGAAGTAGGAGGAAATTATGGTGGTTCTTTGTCTCAATGTCTTGATAACTCATGAAAATGACAGTACCACAGAAGATACTGTTGGTCTTTCCCCCCAACTCTGTAAACTGAATTTAGAGCTCATAACTACACTGAGTAATAAATACGAAGTCATCCTTACCACATTGTTTTGCTTTGATTTGTTTTCTAATTCTTACTTTGCACACCGTGGATAAAACGATTACATTTAGAAATCCACATGTAGCTTTTTGCTATATGATCAACCATAAAGTCAACGGGGTTTATTTGTTCATTTTAAGACACTAAAGGTGCCTATACATGAGCAGCAAGGCTACTTTGATGAGCTGTAATTACGATTGAGTCTGCTGGAGCATGGTAATTATGCAGATTCCAGCATCTTGTGCATCAGCATCCCCGTGCTGAAAAACTGCAGTGGGGCCACTTTAACTAAAGCTCATTCCACAAGCTTTAATTAAAGCTGCCTTATTTTAGTGCAGGGACACTGATACACAAGACATTCCAGGCACTTTAATTAAAGCAGCTCTCAGAGTTGCTTTAATTAAAGTCTCCCCCCAACTCCCTCCCCACCCCCCAAGTACATGCATTACACCCAAGATTACAGATTGCTGCTTTTCAGAAGACCATTATGGATTGCCATAGTTTATCACAATTCCAGGGACCGGTACCTGCTTGAAGCCACTCCCAGGTAAACCAGATTTCTGCTTTCAGGGATTGCTGTTGCACTGTGGGTGTAGAGTTGAAGGACCATGTCCCATTTCCTCTTGCCTCATAAAAAGAGAATGGAGTATTTAGAAGACTAATAGATACTTTTCCTCAGCCTAGATCCATCTTTCTTCCCTTGCAGAACTTCCATGGCAAAATGAGGGGACTGATGATTTAATGAAATGTTAACGTCTCGTGACCTTGACTTGTAAAACAAGTAAATGGGTATCTCACATTTTCTGAACTCTTGCAAGAGTATCTCTCCTTTGTGGTTAATATGGATGATAGCCACACCTCCCCAAAGCACAAACATAAAACCTTCCCTGCTGCTCCTCCAGCTACCATAATGTACATTAATGGTAGAAAGGATTTCAAGGAAATAATAAGCTTCTTAAGCCATTTTACTATTTTATGTATTCTCTTAAAGGCTTGGGGCATTCATGTAGTTGCTTCCAACACACTACAATACAACTTTAAGATACAGTATACTGGAGGGTATTAACAGAATACATCCTTCAGCAATTGCAAAGAATTAACGCAGTGCAACATCTACTTTATCTATATTATCCCCTCTACAGTGATCCACCATTTTTTTTCTGGACCACAAGAGTCTACTTGTTACTTGAAGAGAAGCAATATAAGTTTAGAAACTTTGGGGAAATTGGAGGGGTCTTTCGATCCAGCTACCACGAACACACCAAACTTTCCCTAGTGACCCATAGCAATATGTTTTAAGTTTGTTGAGCAAGTGAGGGCCCCATAGGTATGCCTCATTTTCTGTCACAGCGTAATAAATATGTAAGCAATGAGAGACCTTTCTGGAAAAATAAGATGACATGCCTACTTTAAAATTATCTGATGCTTCCCGAAGCTTCCAAATTATGTTTCCTTGAAGTTAGAAGACACACCTCTTCTAGATAAATTTCATGATCTCTTTCTTCCTTATCCTTCTTATTCTATTTTTTTCATGCTTGATTACTATAACTTTCTCCTGGACATCCTCTCCATCCTAAATTTTGCTTATGATTCTCCTCAAAATCTACCCATCTGCTTCTAATTCATGCCTACCTAATTCTGGATTTTGGTCTATCCTTTGGACATCTCCTCTTGGTAGTCTTACCATAACATTAAATCTAGTGTGGCCAAAACTACACTCCTTACTCTCTCAAATCCATTCTGTTATTCTCTTCCTTGACGCTATCACCAAGATCCCCCTTACTACTCAGGATCAACCTTTGGGGATTATCTTTGATTCTTCCTCATTTCTAGCCCCATGCATGCATCTCAGGTCCAGGTTGATATTTATATTCAATTTGGAAAAGCCATGTTTATCTTTTTGTCTGTTTGACAGTAAAAAGCCTGGGAACAAAAAAATGGGATCTCCCTCCCCCCCGAATTTAAACACTGCATGTTTGTGTTAACATAATGACATGCAGATCTTACCCCATCCACCTACCACTTCCTTTTTCACAGTCTGCCTTTAGGTTGGTTTGCTTTTTGGTGAGGGGAGGGGGAAATGCTACTTGCAATCCAATAGCTTAACACAGCAGAGATAGAATCACTAACAGTTTTCTTGCTTCAGACTATGTATTCTAGTGAGTCTCACCAGACTAACTGAAGCACAGCTTTTATGTGGGAATCACCAAAGAAAAATTATTAATATGCCAAAGCATTCTTATAACTTCATACAGCTGCATAGATGTTTTTATAGCTGAAAGCATGAACCCCATGAAAAACTAATACTGAACCCCTTAATCACAAACTTGCCCAAAATAAAAAATACATTCCAAAGTACTGCATGTAAAAAATGTATATGTGCATTCCAAAATATTGAAGAACTGCATACAGTGCAAAGTCGTGCTAGAAGACATCAGGTTTATGCAGACTACCAGGAAAGATACACATTATCAAAGCCTGGAAACCACTCCAGAGACAGATTTTAACTGACAGCTAGTTAAGAGAAGAACAACATTTCTTCACACAAATACAAGAAAATACTTTCTAGAGGATAATTCCTTTTAACTAGCTATTTTCATGTAAGCAGCGTCTTCCACAGGGTGGGGGCGGCAATCTGTGTTGAAGCTTTTCACTAGGTACTTCAAGTGGTTCCAAATACAAAACTGAAATCTGTTTTGGCCTCCTAATTTGCTTTCCGTTTTTAGCATGCAAGAATTTATTCACACATTTTTTGACACAAGTCCAAGAATACAAACAGGAAAATGACATTATACGAGTAGATTACCTAGTATAATCTAAGTGTACCTATAAAAAAGAAGTTATTTTGACTCTTAATTTTGGTCAATGTAAAATCGTCATTATAGATATTCTGGCCAAAGAAGGTCTTTCTTGCATTTGCTCTTCAGCTGTAACAAAAAGTAAAGAGAAGGCAGGGGGGATAGGGGGGAGGAAAGAAAGAAAGAGAGAGAGGGAGAGAGAGGGAAAGAGAGAGAAAGAGAGAAGGATGGCAGATACACTGAGAATCTGCAGTGTGGATAATCAAACCCTTTATTGTCTATGTTACATCAGACTGCAACACTGTAAAAAACCTGTTAAGGAGAGGAAACAGATTGGTAGAGGTAGTAGAAAGTCCCTGTAACAGTCATAAAATGGCTTACAGGAGTGTCTGTGTCATGCTAAAAATATTATCATACTGTTTAAAATGCTGATCAAAGCTCATTGACTAAATAAATAAGGAACACAAATCAGTTTAAATACTATAGTCTAAGTGAAATAACAAATCAATACTACATGATGAGAAAGAAGAAAAAAGAAGGGTGAAGATTCATATCTAAAAACATCTAGGCTTTAAGATTGGTTTTCCCCACCCACCCCCATTTCTTGTTTAATTAAGTGAAAATCTCATTTCTGTGCTATATACAGCATATAATTATTTTAACTGATTTCTCCAACTGTTGTTCTTCATGTCACTAAATTATGATTGTAAACTGCTGATTAGTACCCTGGTAATGGCAGTGACAGCACTATCCTCTCCTCTGCGAGATATTCTGGAAGAAACTTTCCAGAAAGCTTTTGGTTCTACATATTAACTAGGATTTTCTGTATCAGCCTGCAAAAAATAAATAAATAAAATAAAATAAAGAGTTACAAATGTACACTACGCTTTTGTGCCATTTTGGGTACAGAAGAGTTTTTAATAACTAAAACACAAACAAATAAACTAAGCAACTATTAAGTAACTAGCTTTTGTGCATTCCTGAACTGTCACTGTTACTTTCATCCAACAAAAATATGACTCGGAGAAAGAAAAAAAAGTCAATGCTAGTGCAAACCCAAATCATAATCAATTGTTAACCAACACAGCAAAATATTTGATTTTTTTTTCTTTTGGTGTACAGTGGAATGTGTCTATGTGACTTCCTTCAAAATAACTTCACAAAACAATCAATTACAGTCACTTATAAGTATTTGCACAGACATTCCTAACTACACCAGGACTACAGCGAATTCTGGTATACATCTGGTGTAAGAGTATGAGGAAAAAAATTAGTAAAAAAACCACAATTACATAAGAAAATTACATTTGCATTGCTGCAAGTGTTGCAACATAACAAAAACTGTTAAGTTATTTAACAAGTAACAAGTAATATTCAGAACCAATTACTGACTAGGTTTAAAAAAAAAGACAACCCCCCAAATGGTTAGAACAGAAAAATCACGCTTTGTTTTTTTCCTAAAAAATACCCACAAATTTGTCAGAAGCCCATTGCTACAAAAAAACAGAACTATACCATTATTGTATTAAGTAAACTGTTGCTCTCACCAGTATTAAAGGTTAACATCATTTCTGTACATGTAAAATTATTGCTTTTTTGAAAAATATACTTAGCATGCTAGTTTTTTTATCTGTTTCCTGCCTTTACAAAATGTTACAATTAAAAAAAAACCTAGTAAAGCTTTTGCAAAAAATTTCACAGAACATTTTCTTTCAAGGCAGCAGTAACTTTTGATAATGCATAAAATTATATGTGCAAAATCTGAAACTCTCAGAAATATTACCATCACACATAGTGTCACAGCAATAAGAAAAGAAAATATTTATATCTGTGGAATACATTTTTAATTGCTTACACTGCATGGTTTAACAACCTGTTATGTGCCACAACCCCCACCTCGAAAACTTGCATTTAAAAGAGTTACTGTAGAAGAGGTATATAAAGCTTTTTTTTTTCCTAACACCACCAGTGATCACCAAGTACAAGACATGACACATATGAACATTAACCTGCCACCACAAAAGAAGTTATTCATCTTTTCAAAATGTCACCAGGCCCAGAAAGGAAGGGTAACTGGCTTGCTGAACAAAAATACAGGAGCATAAAGTTCCCTAAGAGGCTAGGTCTGTCCCAACTTGTTCAGCAACTCCTAAACATACAGATCAGAGGCTTTAAACAGCTTAACAACTGTTAAAAATGTGAAGACTTCCTTTGTGATCAGGTTGAAGAAAATAGCCCTGTTACAAAAAAGGTCCTGAGAGTAAAACACAAAAGCCTGGGTTTTTTTGTTTTTTTTTTTAGTGTTCAACTAGCTTTTCTTTTCCAAAGCAGAATATAAGCGTTTCTCTGGAAGTGTTTCAATTTCCATATTCACATACTATTAATGGTGCGCAGTGAAGAACAAGAGCACTAGAAATGCAAGTGGTCCCCAAACTGTAATGAAACAAACCATTGCAGAATGATGGTCTTCTCTTTAGTCCTTCATCAAGCATATCTTTCCATAGCACCGAATGCCACCTCTTTCTCCCCATCACCTTTCCTTTTTTTTTTTTTTAATTTGCTTTTCAGCATGACAGCCAGTGGCAGTTTCATTAATTAATACTTCTCCAGCCCCCAAATCCACTGCTGTTTTTCAAATGTTGTAAATAGTCATTGTGAGCATCAGGGAGGTTTTTGTTACAGTGCTTAACTTCTTCACGCTGTCCAAATCACATAAAGTTTAATTTTTCCAGTGTCTCAA